TTTTAGGTAGGCGTGGTTAACTCTTAACTTTTATAAAGAATATTTCTTTGGATTTGAGACTTTAGTCTTTGCAACTTTACAGATCTTCTTTATGCACCAAGAGCTTGTAACACTCCAAAGAGAAAGGAAAAATTGAAATTGCATCATATGACCCCTTTAAAATGCAACAACGTCACTTACATCATCATCACCGCATCTCGTGCTCCACTGATGACACTCCCTGACGCACTCCTAACATTTGATTGTACTATTTTTGCATTCAAATGCAAATGTTTACTTTAAATTCGACTAATATTCATTTTTTTTATTCACAATCTCCTCTTCACAGGCAGTCACAGCACTCAATTCAGCATGTGTTCATGTTTGCGTGTGCTGTCTGCGTGCTCTCAGAGCACGTGCCTATATCGTGCACTATATCGAACATTTTTTAATATAGTTATCGAATAAGGTGTACCTATAATGTAATATTGTAACAAAACCCAGATTAGTTATCACAACTGCAATCCTATTGCCAGTGAGACAGTAAACAAACAAACTAATGTGGACAAAATAATGGACAAAATAATGTGACCACCAATTATTTTAGAGGTTGAGACTAGGCTACAGTGAAAAACAAATGTTGGATATCAGTGTAGTATAAGCAATGTTTAGTACAAGCCTGTTGAAAAAAAAACAGCATTTGCTGGTTAGGTATGTTTTGACGCTGGGGATGCTGGTTTAAGCTGGTCCTTTGCTGTTTAAACCTGGTTCTTTTGCTGGTCTATGCTGGTCCTTTGCCAGCACATGACCAGCATAAACCAGCAAAGGACCAGCATAAACCAGCAAAAGAACCAGCATAAACCAGCATCCCAGCGTCAAAACATACCTAACCAGCATATGCTGTTTTTTTCAACAGTGTGACTTGTTAGACACTAAATAAATAATTAAATAAACTCATGGAAGCCTGTTTAGCAGGGGCAACTGTAACCTTGACTGTCCAATCATTTGGTGTTTTAAGAGCTGATTATAACTGCATACACTAAGCATGGCAAGACTTCAGCAGCACAGAAGAAAAGTGCTTGAAAACTAGGGCTGCACGATTAATCGCATGCGATATTTAACGCGCATCTTAT